TTTATATATATATATATATATATATATATATATGTGCTGGATTGAATTGAATATCATTAAATGAAATGTATATTTACTTATCTTTTATTAAGTGTAATTTAAGTAAGACTGTTGACGAATTGTTATAATTATTTCAGATTATATAAAAATTTAAGCGTGTACTAACATTTATTTCTTTTTTACAGGTTCAGGAGGCTCCATCATAAACATATTACAAAAATGACTGAATGCATCAAACAGCAGTATGTGCCTCCAGGTCGTTTGTCACCAAAATCACCAACAATATCTCACATATATGTCGAAGAACAAGATGAAGTCGATAATCCTTCTGCTACAGAAAAAGAACCATCAATTTCTCTAGATTATCGATTTGAGTCCACCCGTTTGGCAAGCTACAAAGGATGGCCGAAAGAATATATGAAGCCGGAAAAACTCGCGGAGGCTGGATTTTATTATACAGGTGTAACAGACAAAGTAAAATGTTTCGAGTGTCAGATAGAAATATGCGAATGGCAGGAGGGCGACAATCCGATGATTGATCATCAACGATGGTCTGGTAAATGCAGATTCGTTCGTAATGTTCCGTGCGGCAATGTGCCGATCGGTACGGATCCCAGCACGATTCCGGCGGATGTGCCTAAAGGGATAGACGTATGTGGGCCCTACGGTTCGATTTACATGCCTTACTCCGGACCAGACCACGAAGATCAAGAGATAGAAGAAAGAGTGAATTGTAGATTGCGTGCCTCAAGACCAAAGCATCCTGAATATGCAAATTATGCTAACAGATTAGCGTCGTATAACAGATGGCCTAAAGCGATGTCGCAAACTAAAGAGGAGCTAGCAGAGGCTGGTTTCTATTATACAGGATACGGTGATCAAACACTGTGCTATCACTGCGGTGGAGGATTAAGGGATTGGGAGCCAAACGATAATCCCTGGGTGGAGCATGCCAAATGGTTCGAAAACTGTCCCTATCTGCTTGTATCTCAAGGGAGAGATTTTGTGAGCCATATTACTGGGAAAACGTATCTCGGAACAGTAAGCATTTAATAAGATATATTTACTGTTATTAGAATTATACAATTTGCATTTTTCTCAGTTCTTCCAGTGCTCCTATACTTTGTTTATATTTGTCTTTTATTCCTTATGTCTCCTCCGTTTAACAATTTCTTATAATATTCATTTAATCACATGTTAAATTCTCTTCCTTATATCTCATGGCTCTTATTCTTCATCCTACTCCTAGTTTATTCATAGCTAATTCTCTTGGTATCACGTATCTTAGTATTAAAAAAAAAAACAATGTGCTGAACGCAATGATTATCAATCCTAATTATTTTATTTTTCAGGACAATATGTCATCCGCAATTAATAAATTGGATGACAAATTCGGGAAAGCTGATAGTGAGAGTATTGCTAGTGGTTACTCTCAAAACTCAACCAGTTCTGAGGAATCTAATTCTAATAATACTGAAAGTGCCGTAACAAGTCAAGCCAGCAGCGAGGAACAATCTGTCCAAACACAGGGTAACAAACCATGCGACAAGGATGCAAGATTATGCAAAATTTGCTATAGTAGAGAAGTACGGATTGTATTTATGCCATGTGGACACTTACTGGCATGTGCGGAGTGTGCGAAAAACATGAAAATATGCGGTGTATGTCGTCAGAATGTTGAAGAAACTGTACAAGTCTACATCCCATAGTGTCTTTGTCTTGTGATCTTTGGACTCTGCTACAGAATTTTTTACTTATCATTATTATTAAAGACTGACAATTTCAAGCAAAACTAAATGATATGATATGTAACATATGACTGGTACTCATGTAACATATGACTGGTTAGCAGGTACAACTATGTAACGTTAAAGTTAAACGCTCTTGTTAATGGAAATATTGACTTAACGGTTGTCGTCAAAAGAAAGAATATTCTGTTGTAATATTAACAAGTGGTGAATGTATTTTGTAATCGTTGTACAAGTAATAAATGTTCCTATATTTATTATATTCAATTATTAAAATATGAAAATCTATCTCTTCTGATTTTTATAACTCTGTATTTCGCGTCATATTCAATTATTAACATATGAAAATTTGTAATATGTCACAATGTGTTTTATACATCAACCAACAATTTTTGCAATACCGATTACCGATAGCCATATATTTAAATATATAACATATACAAATATATAGCTATGTAATCGGTATTGCAAAAATTGTTAGTTGATGTATAAAACACATTGTGGTATATCATAAATTTTCATATTTTAATAATTGACATACAGAAAATCATTAAAATCAAAAGAGATAGATTGTACCTGCAAAACAGGATGTTGCTATTTGAATGTTTACATTGTTCGGCAATGCAATGTTTGATGAAAAAAAATTTCGTAAAATAAAGATTGAGATAAAGCGCTATTGAACGAGTACAAATAGCAACAATGCATGAAGTCTAGTCATTAGACTATTTTATATTTAATGTTACAAAAGAAATTACTCGTGTTGAATATTTGTAGACTGACTTATTAACCTTTCTGCTAATAAATGAATGAAAAAATTCAGTTTACTCTGGCCATCTTTTTTTAATTTTTGCTGTAATTTCTTTTATAACATTAAATATATTCCGTTGTAGTTTATACATATTCATGTACTACAAATTATTAAGCACATCGTTGTCCATAAGTGTAAAAAATGTGTAACTCTACTATAAAGCTACTACGAGCTTAATTAGCATTAATTAATGCTAATTAAATTTTGTCAAAGACCCTGGAGTGCTTAGATTTGTGACAGTAGAGTTACATATTTGAATCGAGTTTCTAAAAATTGAAATTCTAAGTTATGTCCACGAATTAATTATATTGATTAAAAATAGAAATTCAGAAATAGTTCGGTACGTATACAGCGTGGAGCAGTTAAAGGGATAAAATATTTTATCTTTTAGATCAAGTATCTTAGCAGAAAATGTTTTAAACAAAAATTTGATTTTGAGTGGGATATAAAATGGTGATTGTAGTTTAATTTTGTGATGTCTTTGTGCCAAAATAAATTATATTTTTTTTAATTAAAATTTTCTTATGTAAATCGATTTTCCTCGATTCTGCAAATAATAAGAATAAAGATAGTATAAAATTGATATTATTTAAAGATGAATAGATAGGGCGATCTTGGTAAAGATTCCAAATAATATGATAAAGTGATTGATATAAACAAAATACATTGTTAAAAAAAAAAACAATTTATGTATAAAATTCAGGGAAATGAAGTTGTTAAGAAAAAATAGTTTCATGAGGATGTAAATCTTGACGTGATCATGAAGTTCATGATCATGTCAAGATTATTTACATCCTCATGAAACTATTTTTTTTTTTTCTTAACTGCTACCTAGCAGTTGAGATCAAATTAAAATCACTGTTTTATTCTCAGAAGCAAATGATGTTTATCTTTACATTTTTTGCTAAAGTACTTGATTGAGAGGTAAACATTTTCGTTGCTTCACCTTGTGAAAATATACAACATGTATATTACACATGTATGTAATACACAATTTTATTTTAAATGTAAAATAGGTTCATTAGACTAGGGGAATTGCATTTTAATATCTAATATATATTTAATTTATCTGCAAATATATTTTGTATATATATTAGGTCTACTTAAATTTGCGTTTTCACACGTAGCGGAGTATTTCAATTTTTAAACATCGGCAACATAGTGGCTTCAGCTAAGCTTAGCAAAGTTAGGATGTATAATAAACGCAAGATACGTCTATTATACATTTCACTAACACTTCTACGTTCGTCGAAACAAGGCACTGTATTGTTATTCTTGCTTTCCGAATAATTCGAAATGACTTTAAGATAAAACTTATTTCGCTTTATTTCGCGAATGTATAGAAGTTAATATGAGGTGTTGGTATAGAAACACGCATTTTACATATGATATCGTCGATGGATAGGGGTCTATACTAAGTATAATAGTCGTTCTTTCGGTAATAAATAAGTATACAAAAATATATGTGTATTTAAATATATGTGTATGTATAATTGTGTACTAAGAGAACAGAATAACTTTGGACAGAGGAAGCGCAATTATAATGACGAAATTTATATTAGGAAAACGATTAAAACACAAAAAATGCAAAAGTTTTGCATTTTTTTTTATGTTTCGTTTTCCTAATATAAATTTCGTCGTTATAATTGTGCTCCCTCTGTCCAAAGTTATTCTGTTTTTTCAGTACAATTATATATAATATACATATTTTAAATACACACATATTTTTGTATACTTATTTTAACAATAAATGTTTACTTTATTTTTACATTATGAATACATACTTACGATAAAGATATCTTCGCGTTTTTCCGTGAATTTTCGTGGATGTTAGACTTTTTTTTTTCAGATATCTACGGTAAAATGCATTTGTGACAATTGGAACGTGTACCCTGGGCAAAATAACTTTGACATAATACTGTACAAACGTAGCGTCATACACATATAATGAATTGCGACAGATTGTAATACAAAATAAAAATTCCTAATATAAATTTTGTCGATATAATTGCGCTTCCTCTGTCCAAAGTTATTCTGTTCTATCAGTACACAATTATTGAATTATATATACACATATATTTTTGTATACTTATTTTTACAATGAAGGTTTATTTTATTTTTACATCACGAATGCATACTTACGATAAAAATATCTTCGCGTTTTTCCACGAATTTTCGTGGATGTTAGTCATTTTTTTTTTCAGATATCTACGGTAAAATGCATTTGTGACAATTGGAACGTGTACTCTGGACAAAATAACTTTGACGTAATACTGTACAAACGTAGCGTCATATACACATATAATGATTGCGACAGATTGTAATACAAAATAAAAATTCGAAAGAGAAAGACCTGTTGTTTCTCAACGACATTCCATGTACACGTGATATCCATTCCTCGTATATCCATTGTATGATAACAGCACGGTAAAAACAAAAAACGACATGTGTGAGTTAACTTATCTAATTATTTTTTAAGAAAAGGTATGACATCTACACTCGCATCTATTGAAGCTTATTTGTACTTGCCTTTCCGTGATTGGGTTCTCTTCATTATATTTTGATTGCATTCGATTTGCGCTTACAGCGCTTAAAGCATCATTTGTCCAATATTTTATAAAAGATGAAGTGATGCTGTGAGAACTATAAGCACCAAAGCGAAAGTAGGCCAAATGATTGTTTCGAATGGTTTTAGAGTTAATAAGATATTGAATTTGCTTTCGTAAGATAACATGAATTGAAGTAAATATTGTTTAATGTTTAATTCTATATAAAATTCTAAAAAATTTTACCATCTTTTTTTTTAAGTCGCTCTTGGTGGTATAGATAGATCGAGCATGCCATATACCAGGCTATATAGTATGCTCGGTTTACGTCTATAGGTCCAGCGGTGAGTGCTATGCTTATGCTGTTATTTATTTCATGTGTTCCTGGCCTTAGACGTAGTTTATTGAATCTAAAATGTATCTGAATAATACTTTTCAAAATTGATTCTTCAGTACGAACAATTTCGATGTGTCTAATAAATCTAGTTAAAATAGTATCAAACTTATGAAAACATATTCTTTAATTAACTCGGAAGATGAACTAAGATAAATAGGATTAGTATGTACTAAAGATATATAAAATAATAATGGAATGGTAAATGCAAATAGTGACGAGAAAATTTTATTATAGTACGACTTTATTAGATGCCAATAAGATGTTATAAACATTATAATATCTCGATACTTACATCTGCGCAAACATAATGTAATCCTTTTGTTACAGAAAACCATATTTTTAAATCTAAACGTATACAATATTAAATAAACTATATATATATTACAACCTCCTGCATAAAAATGTTAATTCTTATAAATGAATGATGTACACTTAATTATGCTCTATGCGCCGAAAATATTCATTTCTAATTACAATCAGCACAAAATCCTTTGGAGATAATACGAAAGCAATTCAGTGTAAAATATATATTTCTTTAATGTTTTTTATACTTTATACTTTTTGAGTAGTGAGTCGCATGTTACTATATGCCCTCTTTTTTTTCTTTACAAACGACGTAACATGTAATGTGTCATAAATTATTATTTACTTTATATCGTGATAGTATTCTTTGCCTCACAAGCGGTACAATTTGCTCTAAACAGTTTTAATTATTTAAGCAATTATTAATTCAAAGCGGTGGATGTTAATACAGCAACCCCTCTCTCGTAAAAACTGTGCGGTTCTTGACTAGGAGCGATATTCAAATCGACAGTAAATAGCAGTTCGGTACGAGTGCTGTTCAAGTAGACCGGCAGGGACAGCTTGCCCTTTCTGATATCTTCCGTAGACGATCGCGCCCATCTCAGCATGGTGACTGGTAAATCAGTCATAATAGTCGAAGTTAAATACAATTGATTATCCTTACATTGCGCGCCTTGCAGTTTTAAGCCGGTAACGGCGAAGGAGCAATCGTCCGTAGCAATGTTGTCGCCGTCGCCGATAGTCACGTTCAACTGCAGCTCCTCGAGTGACCAGCTGTTAGCCTGGGCGATGCATTGTCTGGTTGCGGTGATGTAAGCCTCAGGATTCAGCAAACCTCCCAGCCAAACTGGGAAACTCTGAAACCGATCACAATCGATTTTTAATTTTATATCGAGGTCAATTCGAGTAAATTCAATGAAAAGCAAATAATAAAATAGAGAAGAGTCAGGCCAATAAACGAGCAAAACTTTTTTTCGGTGAATAATTAATAATTTACTGATAATTTAATAATTATTAAAGATTTAATGGATTTTTTAATTATCAGTAAATTATTAATTATTCACCAAAAAAGTTTTGCTCGTTTATTGGCCTGACTCTTATCTATTTTATTGTTGTATGCATACGAGCGAGAATTAATTTTAACTTGAAAAGCAAATATTTCTATAAAAAAAAAATAATACAATAGAGATAATTCTAATAATAAAATATTTGGAACAGTGAAGCGAATGCAATGATAAAAATCGAAATAAACCTTTATCTCCTTCGCTCCGCCTTGGGAGACTAAACGCGAAACTTCCTGCAACTGCGAGACCCTGTGGCTAAAATCGGTGATCCACTGTATAACTGTACAACCTCTTGGCACGGTATATCTCCTCCAACCACCGGGCAAAATACCCTTTACTAATTCGGACAGCATTGTTCTGTGATAATTGGTCTGTTTCTTCTCGCCCTGTTAAAATATATAAAATGCAGTTAATCCAAACGACATTAGCCCCATTTTATATTCAAAAGCAATAGAACAAAAATAGAAACAATAATTAATAAGATTGAACGACCAAAGACGAGCAATTTAACAGGTTGTAAAAATTCCTTTATTAATTAATTTTCTAGCATAAAACGCAATGAAATTAGTTTCGATCCTTACTAGTTTTAAGCTAGAAAACTAATTAATAAAATAATTTTTACAACCTGTTAAATTGCTCGTCTGCGACCGTTTGATCTGATTAATTATTGTATTTACAACAACGAGCGAAATCTATAAAGACAAGTAAAAAGGCTTACTTGACAAATTAATACGACATCCTCCAAGTCATGGATAACATCTTGAAGTAATTTCGCTCCGCTGTTGACTTCCCTCTCAAAGTATCTATATAACGGGTCTTTGATATTCTCGACTGTTCTCTTCAAGATCGGTAGATTCTTTGGAAGTAATTGCAACCAAGTGGAGGCAGAGTTGTGCAGAGTCCTCATCCAAGATGGTCGACCGTCTGCTTCAGCTTCTCTCGGCGTGTCCAGAGACTCCTCATTCGAGTACGCCAGTTCATCCTCATCCTCCAACTGCTGCATCTTAAGAAGCTTGGAAACCAGGTCGGTTCCTCGTGTGGTTAGAAGCACTTTTTCCGCGTTATTCGGCAGGCCGAGCCAGGAAGGTGTCTGTCTGTCCGAGAGAGACTCGATCCACTTCAAAAAGTGATCGCGCCTAGTGCCATCCGGCATCGTGATGTGCCTTTGATTGCCCTGCGCACCGTCGATATTGGCGACAAGAGCGAAGTCTGCTTCGAATGAGCGCGGAGTGAAGAGTTTGCGCAGGAAAGAAGCCAGGAGACGTTGATCGAAATCGTTGTCAATCTTGCCGCCATAAATGCATTGAGAGAGAAGAGTCACCAGAGCATCCCAGGGTACCTTCTCCGGCGGTAGATTTGTCCTTCCCATAGCCGTGGCTTCGATCCACGTGTCCAAGGTGTCGCAGGCGACTCTCAAGTCGCTCTCGTTGAATTCGTAGTGCTTGGCCCAGCCCAGCGGCGCGTAACGCAGACGTTCCTGCACGATTGCGTGGAACCACGCGAGCAGGAAGTAGAGACGGGCCCTCTCGTTGGGCGCTCGCATCATCCTCGAGGCGGGAACGGTGCTGAACGTACGCAGCAAGTTCGCTCGTATGCCAGGAGGCGGTTCGAACACGAATATTCTACCGGCTCTCAATAGATTCACTGGCACCTTAGGATTGATCTCCATCGTTAAGAACAATCGGAAGCTAGCGTGCGGCTGAAGACTGTGCAGCTTCTTTTCCAGCTGCACCAACCACTGCGGAGCCAGGTGTACGTTCTTCAACAGCACCCATCTGCCGGCCTTCACAGCCATGTTTATGGCCCGATCGGCCTGATTGAATCCTTCCGCCGATCCGATAGCGATGCTGGCTATCTGCTTGCCCAATTCCGCGGCCAGATCGTCCACTCTGCCCGAAGCGTCGAAGCCCGGCACTGAGCACAATAAAGCCGGCACGGTCGCCTTCAATTGGTCCTCCACAACGGATGCGAAATCGAGCTCAGCCTCCGCGGCCGGCATGAAGGACTCGTTGAAGGCAGAGGCCACCACCAGAGACGCGGCTGCGATCACGCGATCTGGTCGGAAGGCTTGTATTATCAGCAGCTGGTGCATTGCCGTGCCCGTGGGCGACAACGGCTTCTCCTCGTCCCAGAGCTTCGGCACGCACGTCTCGGGTGTGGGTGACTGCAGCCACGCGCTGAATTCTGAGCTCTCCTGGATCTTTTCCGCGAGCTTCTTGAAGGCGGGCAGTCTTATGCTCAGACGCATCATCGCTTCCTGCTG